GTCACCGAGCACACGATGGGGTGAGCATCTCACGCACGCCAACGTGACAGCCCCACCCCCGCCGCGACGTCTCGGGCGGGCGTGACCGCGGGCTCCGCCACGCCCCGCCCCCCGGTGGGCGGGGCCAGTCGCGAAAGTCAGCCGCTCGCAGCCAAAGCCCGACAGTTTCTCAGGCTTCCTTCGTAAGTTGCAGCCCGAATGCTTGGAGCGGGAGCCAACGTGGCAGCGATGTTTAGGCGAAGCTGCGGGGTGAGGATCAAACCGGGGCCGCGGTAGGGCTGGGAATGGATGCTGCGGTGTTTGGGGAGGCGGGTACTGGGCTGGAAATGAAGGCGCAGGAAGCCGTGGGAAGGAAAGAGCCCGCCTCCGAGCCCCTCGGCTCAACTTACTCCCACCCTCCTCTGGGAGGCAAAGTAGGGAGAGGCTTCAAAAGATGCGAAAATGCTGTGATCTTTTAATTCCTCCCGCCCCCCACTGCATTTTCTGAAGCCCCCTTGATCTATCCCGGGTCTCGGCTTTCCTTTAGTCCCCCGCCGCCGTCCTCCTCGGTTGGCGGTGTGTCTGATTAGAACGCCCCTTTCTTGGCCCTGGAGTTGCCTGACCCTTTACCCGGCATCCATCTCCTTTCCCTTCGTGAACGCCTGGGCGGTGCGTGGTCTCAGCACCTCGGCGCAGGCTTTGCTGTGCTGATCGTACCTCCGAGAGGTCTTCGCCCTACCCTGGAAGGAGGCGTTCCAGTACGTGTCATCCTGCAGCCTCCAAAAAGTAGAATTCAGATCGTCTTGAACTTGGGTGCCTGGTAATCACCGGGTGGAGAAGAGTGAAGCCGCTGGTCTTGTGGGATTCTTCATATCCTTGATACGCTTTTGGTTTTGTGGGAGGAAGTTTTCACATTGCACGTATTAAAAACAAAACAGAAAGAACGCCGCAGAACTTTCCTTGAAACTATATAGGCTTAGTTTTGTATCTTACAAGTTGTATTTAAATAGTTCATTGACTCAGGCGCGCGTTGATATTATTACGACCAGCCTGCCATTTAACTGTTACTTAAAAACGAGTTAAGAAGTTCTGTCCTTACCCCAAAAGTTGCAGTTTTAGAATTTCGAATAATTCTACTGGATTGTTGCCGGATTGTTTTCATTGTTATATAAGGTTCTGAAGGAAGAATTTGCTTTTAATATTATCACTAACTTTGGCACCTGGAAAAAGTGCTGCTGAGATTTCTCAGCCGCCCCAGGGGAAACCAAACTCCAAACACCGGGTCTAGAAAACTTAACCCTTCACCTCTCCTTTGACACGCCTATAAAATTAAGACTTTTAAACTCCTAGAAAATATGCACAGTATTCAACAATGTGATTTTGATTATAACAAGTTACCCAGTGAGGTTAGCCCTATATTTTCAGGTTTATAAAGCTGCCAGAAATGTAATCCAAGATCAAAACAATATGGAGCCTAGACTCAAATGATTATTTCTGTGCCATTTCTATTAAGCCACCACCTTATTTAAATGGATAATGTTACAGTGTAATTAGCACATTGATGTGCATTGTTCCATGGCTATAGTCACCCTTGAATTGTATTTTTGTTGTATATGGTAGATGTTTTCCTAAAAAAATCTTGTGTAATTTGTGTAAACTGATTTTTTTTATGAATTATTTTAAAGCCACTAAATAATTTACTGATTAAAGTCTCCCAGCAGACTGTTGTACCCACTTTGTAAGGTTTGAATTTTGTGTAACTGGTGTTTAAATTAAATGTACATTCATAGTAGTGAAGGTTTTTTAAATCTGATTTTAGTGTTATCCAACTGGGAAGCTAAATTGAAAGAACATTGTGGCAAGATGGTTGATATACTGGTTCTTGATGGCAAATGTGATCTTAAGTAATTTTATATGGCCTTTCTGAGTTTTTGTTTCTTTGTGTGCAAAAAAGATGACAAGATAGTATCTTAATCCTAGGCTTGTCATGTATATTCAGTGAATTATTACATAGATCTTGTTATAAAGAGATCAGGCTTATCTGTGATCACTAGGCAATTCAAACCAGAAAAAAAACACATTAACTTCCAAAATAAGAAGCACAGGCTTAGCTTATTCTGGGTTTAAAAAAAATCATTTTACTGGGGGCTCTTACAGCTCTTATAACATTCCATACATCCATTGCATCAAACATATTTATTTGTACATGTTGCCATCATTTCAAAAACATTTTCTACTTGAGCCCCTGGTATAATCTCTTATTTCCCCTTCCTCCCCACCCTTGTGAATCCTTGATCAATTATATATTATTGTTATTCTCTATCTTACACTGTCCATTGTATTCCTTCACCCACATGTCTGTTTTTCGTCCCCTTGGCAGTGGGGAGGGTGTTAAATATCCAGCCTTGTGATGGGTTCCCCCTTTGTCCCTCTTCCCCCTCCCCATCCCCCTGCCCTTATGATATTGCTATTCCCACTACTGTTCCTGAGGGGTTTATCTGCCCTGAATTCCGTGTGTCCAAAGCTCTTACCTGTACCAATGTGTGTTCTCAGGTCTAGCCAGATTTGTAAGGTGGAACTGGGTCATGGTAGTTGGGGGAGGAAGCATTCAGGAACTTAAGGAATGATGTGTGATTGGTGTTATACTACACCTTGGTTGAATCATCCCTTAAAACCGTTCCGTGGGGGTGGAGGGGGGGGGGCGATATCCAATTGTCTACAGATGGGCTTTGAGTCTCCACTTAAAAACCACAGCCCCGCCTTGTTCGCATTGATATAGTTGTTTGTTTTGGATCTTTTGATACCTGATCCCATCGACACCTCATGATCACACAGGCTGGTGTGCAGGACCATGTGGGCCTATTTGCTTCCCTGCTACATGGCTGCTTGTTTAACTTCAAGCCTTTAAGACCCCAGGCATTATATCTTTTCATAGCCGGGGACCATCTGCTCTCTTCACATTTGCTTATGCACCCATTTTGTCTTCAGTGATGGTGTTGGGAAAGTGAGTATCCAAAAAGTGCCAAATTAGAACAAAATATTGTGTTAAGGGAGGCCTTGGGTAGAGGCCCAAAGTCCATCTGCTATCTTAATACTTAACATATAAATATATGTACATTGTCCTCTATCCCTTTCATTATAAGTTAATATATTTACATATATACATACCTATAGCTATATCTCTATAAATAGCTTTTGAAGAATTGCAGGTGTCACTTGTTTTGTTACACTTCACAAATACTGCATTTTTTACAACTTGAAGATTTGTGACAACCCTGTACTGGTCCCATTTTTTCAGCAACATGTGCTTACTACATGTCTCTGCCACAGTTTGGTAATTCTGAGTTTTCCATGCCCCACACTTTATTGTCTACCAAAACCTCCTACCATCAAATGGATGCTTAGCAAACATATTCAGCAAAGGTTCCCAAACCTATTTGACCTACTACTTCTTTTTCAGAAAAAAAATTATGCAGCATACCCTGGCAATTAAAAACTTTTGTACTGAATATCATAATCCAGGATAAAGTGTGGATATCTGTTTTTGTAGCCTCCCTGAATTGCTCCAGCACCCTCCAAGAAAGCATTATCACCCACATTCAGGAACACTGTTATAAAATATTTCTAAGTTTGCAAATCATCATGGGAGCATATAGTCTCAACTTTCTTCTGCAGAACTGCTGGGGTTTCAGCTGCACATCTTGGGTCAACCGACCAGTACATATCTATACAACAACAACAACAGGGCTCCTTATAGTCTATAGTATAGGGTAAATAGAACTGTTACCTGTACTGGGAAGCAAAATATCTGTGTGACCCAATTTAATGAGATATTTGCTACATTATGGTGGTCTGAAACTGAACCTGCAGTATCTCTGAGCTATGCCAGTAATGAAAATCGTAAAGAAAATGTGAGTTTATAACCTCTCTTTAATTTTTTCCAAAATCATAGTATGGTATTTTATTTTGAAAGGACATTAAAATCTAATACTCAGTTGAAGTGTGGTGGTTTACTTACAAAGTGGACAGTTTCTTTTTACAGATTCTGAAAAACATGTTCAGTTCTTTATCTTTTAGTATATTATTGAACGACTGATTTAGTATCTAACTTCTCAGAGTTGCCTAGCAAACTCAAACTCAGAAACTCAAACTCAGTGCCATTGAGTTGATTTTGACTCATATTTTGACTATAGGACAGGGTAGAATTTTCCTTGTGAGTTTCTGAGATTGTAACTCTACAGGAATAGAAAGCCTCATCATTTGTCTTTGAAGCAGCTGGTGGTTTTGAACTGCTGACTTTGTGGTTGGCCGCTCATTGCTTAACCACAAATTCACAACTCACTGCCATAGAGCTGATGTGAACTCATAGTGACCATATAGGACAGGGCAGAGCTGCCTCTGTGAGTTTCCAAGACTAACTCTTTATGGAGGTGGAAAGCCCCAGCTCTTTTCCTTGGAGCAGTGGGTGGTTACGAACTGCTGACTTTCCACTTAGCAGCCTAATGCCTAGCCACTGCACTACCAGGACTGCTTGCATAACCATAGTTCCACCAAAATCCCTGGAGGCTTGAAGTGTTCAAATTTTTGTGGCAAACTTTTTCTAGCAGCACCATTGTGATTTTTAATTTGGTGATTTTAAGAAATGCAGTGGCTGCTGTGGTGTTCATTAAGCTGTCCTAAACATAGAAATGGATTAGAAATGTGAACAATATATACAAAATGGCTTCAACGAGTTTATGGGAAAATTCCTTTTTTCAGTTGTGGTTTTATGTTTGTTTTTTTTTCGTGAACTTTTCAAAGTCCCTTCATATGTATCTAATTGTATTGCTTTATATATTCCTTTGAAAAAATATGAATATTTTAATATATTTAAGCATAACAACAAGGTTGAAAAACTTTTTGAGGGGTTTTGTGAACCAGATAGCTTCTGTGATAACGACTCTGCTGTGAAAATAGTCATAGACTGTGTGGCATGACTATTACAATGGGGGATGTAAGTAGTTTGTACTCTGCTACTAATTTAAAGACTGGTGGTTTGAAACCCTCCTCCCCAGTGGTACCACAGAAGAAAGGCCTGGCAGTCTGCTTCCTTAAAGAAACCCCTTTGGAGTAGTTTTACTATGTAGTTTATGAGGTCACCGTGAACTATAACCAGCTCAAAAGCAACAGGCTTGGTTGGCTGGCGTTTTTTGTGTTTCATTTTATGTATAAAAACTGGTGGCTACTAGTCAGGGTGCAGTATAGCAATGATGAAACATACAATTTTCCTCTAGTTCTTTAATGCTTCCTCCTCAAACCCCCCCCCCACTATCATGATCCCAGTTTTACTTTATTAATCCGGCTAGACCAGAGGATGTCCACTGGTACAGATAAGAACTGAAAACATAGGGGATCCAGGACAGACAAATCCCTCAGGACCAATAATGAAAGTAGCGGTACCAGGAGTGTAAGGGGAAGGTGGGGTAGAAGGGGGAAGTGATCACAAGGGTCTACATATAACCCCCTTCCTGGGGGACAGACAACAGAAAAGTGGGTGAAGGGAGACGTTGGACATTGTAAGACATGACAAAATAATAATTTATAAATTATCAAGTTGGGAAGGGAGGGGAAAAATGAGCTGATACCAAGGGCTCAAGTAGAAAGAAAATGTTTTGAGAATGAGGATGGCAACAAATGTGCTTGACACAATGGATGTATGTATGGATTGTGATGAGTTGTACGAGTCCCCAATAACACGATTTTTTAGAAAAAGTCATCTGTAGAAGGCCAACTGGTCAAAACTTACTCTGAAGGTAAGAGAACGTGGAAACTAGTGTGTACTGAAAATGGTAGAACTAGAACAGCATGAATGAGAACAATAACATGATGTTGTGTAGAAATTGTTACATGGGGAACCTAATTTACCGTGTAAACATTCCTTAAACACAGTAAAATATTATTACTAAAAAAAAAAAAAAGAGTTGTATGAGCCCCCAATAATAAAATTATTTGGAAAACAAATACTGCTGGCTACCATAGCTTGCTGACCTTTGCTTTAAAAGATCCTAAGAGTATTTATAGACAAAAGCACAAAATATAGAACATAATTACATATTAGCTTTCTTTGTTAGAGTGAGGTATTTTAGAAAGTATCCTCCATGGAAAAGATTCCCAGAGGCATGTCTAGTGTGCCCAAAGAGACATGGTATCAAAGTGGATAGATCAGTCACCTGTTTTTGAATTACTGTGAATTGGTGACGGTTTACAGAGCAAACTTGTTTCATGCCATTGATTGCAATCCCCACAATGTAGCATCACTCACCTCACTTTCGCTCCATGTTTCCTATTTCCATCTCCTTTCCTGACCCTTCCTACCTTCTGAACTTTGCTCTTGGGTTAATGTTACCCTTTGATTTTGAATGGTTCATTCTAAAGTGTACAAAATTATTTGGGGCAGAATCTGACCTCTGATTTCACAAGGCGAAAGCGGACTGAAACCACATGAGCCCAAGGTCAGTTTCTATGAGGCAGGGGTCAGACATGCCTCTACCCTCTTTTCTCCTTTGCCAATTCTAACACCAGCCCTCTGTCCCCGGCACTCCTTACTTCTTACTTGGGTTCATTAATTCATTTCAGTGGCCACACGGAACTCAAAGATCATACTTAAAATTATGTGATTTATTTGGGAAGTTAACAGGCTACAATTCAGGAGCAGAAATATTCCAGGATATAGATTTTTGGTCAGGACAGCAGACAGCTTCTTCTCTGCTGTGACTACCTACAGGCCTCTCTCTGGGCCTCAGCCCCTTGTTCTGGTCTCTGTTCTACTTGGATGTACAATATTAAAAAGTTCCTTTAATGCCGCCGATACATGTTCAATGAGCACTCTACTCTTTGATAAGCCTCAGTCTGAAGGATCTCAGCTTTAGCTTCATGGGTCAACAAACCTAGCTCCCCAGTAATATGCCTAGAGCAGGGGTCCTCAAACTATGGCCCACCGAGGACATTTATCCGGCCTGCCGGGTATTTTTGCCCAGTTTTGTTTTTTTACTTCAAAATAAGATATGTGCAGTATGCATAGGAATTTGTTCATAGTTTCTTTTTAAACTATAGTCTGGCCCTCCAATGGTCTGAGGGACAGTGAGCTGGCCCCCTGTTTAAAAAGTTTGAGGACCCCTGGCCTAGAGGGTACCCCATTCTGCAAGTGCCTACCTAGAAGCACTCAGTTTTACCCCATGAACTAGGAAGTGTGCCCCCCCGCCCCTTGTGCTCTGACTGTTCTGTTGCTTCTGTCAGACCATGGATTGAGGAGGTTCAATGCACAGGGCTCTTAGGTCTCAAAGGACACAGTCCTATTTCTTCTTGCCTGATGGTAGTGAGATCCTACCTTCCTGCTTCTGAGATGGCCATTTTATACCCAGCAGTAGGGCTAAACTGACCTAACCCCTTCTTCGAGTTCCATATTTTTATAATTATAATTGATCTTGTTAACAGTCACTCAAAGTTTAAACTTCTACCTTCTCTTACCCCAGACCCATTAGCGAAAAGCTGTTAGGAGTTACAATGACAATGGCTAGAAGAGCAATATTTTTTTAAATTTATAAATTGTTTATTTTGTTATATCCTGCCCTGTCTGACGTCTCCCTTCACCCACTTTTCTGTTGTCCGTCCCCCAGGGAGGAGGTCATATATAGATCCTTGTAATTGGTTCCTTCTTTCCAACCCATTCTCCCTCTACACTCCCAGTATCGCCACTCACAGAGCAATATTAAGTAAATCACTGTACCACACTGGAGTGCTATCTTTAGTATTACTGATCACCTTATGGACACATCTGCTGTTGGCCTGAAACTTGAGCCACGGTACTGAGTTCATTTCAGATCTAAGGGCCATAATCTTCAGGGGTTCCACCAGTCTGTTATCCAACCAGGATATCGTTGGGTGTTTTGGATTTTTTTTTTCTCCAATTTTGAGTTTTGTTCCATATTTTACTCCCACTTTGGTTGGTAGTGGAAGTTGGGTACCATCTACTTCGTTTAGTGTCAAGGTCCTGGGTGCTGAGGTTCCTGTGGCCCATTAGTCCTTTGGACCAATGGTTTTCACAAAGCTTTGGTTTTCTTCAGTCTTAGTTTCAGGTGATAGCCATTCACAAACTTTTGCTACTCACCAAAGTACAATGTAGAACGTTTTCCTTGTAAAGTATTTTGTGCCAGTTGACCTTGATATCCTCCAACTTATAAACTCTTGAACGTAGTATGGTTTCATCCCACTGTTGTACTCATCCCAGATCTACAGTTCTCATTGTCCTAGGAGCTGGTAGTTGAGATTTCAAAAATGGTGGCCTGTGGTTCCGCGCATTTTTATCCTGGAAATCCTCCATCTCTGTAGTTTGCGGTTACCCACTAATCAGCTTTGTTATATTTTAACTGTATTTTTCTTTTGTTAATACTTCTTTACTGATAGATGTTCAAATACTTGTTAATTAGTTCTTTAATATGGAAATCAAATTAAGGTTTTTAAGTAATGATTACTTTCAAAATTATTCTCAAGTATGGTCCAAAAAATTGCCAAAGTATCTTCTTTGATTCTCATTTTATTATCAAATGTGTTTAATCAAACTATTCTCTACAGGTTCTGAGAAGTGTTTCTCGTTTTGACTGGAGATCACAACATACAAAGCCTGCTCCAAACCGTGAACCAGGATTAGGATATAATTTTGGTATATGCTACATTCTGTCCTTTCATTATAAACTTACATGTATTATGTTTGTGCACTTTTATATATTGTTTTTCTGCAGTGTGTTTGCTAAACACACTTAGTAATGTCTGTCAATGAATAGGACTGATAACCTTCTACAAATTATTCACAGGTAATCCCATGCATTCTTCCGATAACATTCTCTTCTTAGTGATAGCATGTCCATGGATGTTCCTTCCCTTTTCTTAAGTATATAACCCAAAATGCACGACAATTTACTTATATAAATGGATAGCCTTTAACTTAGACAACTGAATTCAACAATTTGGGTGTCTGGTCAAAGGCAAATGTTTATGAGGGGGTGCCCCCCCAAAATCCGGGAAAAAGCGCCACTAGGCAGAGCTTTTCTAGTACACGGTCCTGCTATGTGAGCATCCAGCAATTTGTTCTGAGTGTGTGCACCCAGTGGTGTCGCATCGGAAGGTTCTCTCTGGTCACAGTGAATTTTTTCATAAAAGCAGCTTGGCTTGAACCTCTTTTTTTGTGTCAGTCGATTTAAGAGAATAGTGTGCAGCTGTGAAATTTTGTTTCCTCAGGAAAAGTGCCACAGAGACTGTTATGATGTTGAACACAGATTATAAGGACAGTGCTGTGGAAAAAACGCAAGTGCACTAGTAGTTTTCTCATTTCAAAAATTGTCGATTGATGACAAATGATGTCTATCAATTTCCCAAATGGACGAAAATGTCCACAAAATTAGTGCACATGCACTCGAAGACAGATGACAGACCATTGAAGAGATGGGGGAGTTACCTGGACTGTCTTGGAGCTCGGTTCAGCAAATTTCAGTGGATGATTTGGGAATGAGAAGGGTCACTCTGAAATTTGTTCCTCGGGTTCTGACTGACCAGGAAAAAGAACATCAAGTGGAAACATGCTTTGAGAGAACATCTCAGACGCCATCCAGACTTTGATCCCAGGGTCATTACTAGTGATGAGACATGGGGCTATTCTTACAACTGAAAGTAAACGTTCATCAAACCAGTGGAAGATGCCATGGTCACCTCACAAAAAGTTGGCAAGTGAAATCAAAGATCAAGATGATGCTCATTTGTTTTCTGGATGTGAGGGAACTAGTGCATTCCACCAGGTCAGACTGTTAATCAAGCTTTCTATTCAGAGGTTCTGAAAAGATTGTGCAACAGTGCACAACAAAAAATGGCCTGAATTGTGGCCGATGGGTGACTGGTTTTGTTACCATGACCATGCACCTGCTCATGCAGATATCCTAGTGTGCCAGTTATGGGCAAAAAACAGCATGCCTCTCTTAGGCCTCATACACCTGACTCACCTGACCTCACTCTGTGCGACTTCTGTTTGTTTCTGCGAATGAAAAAGGATATGAAAGGACTGCGATTTAAAGATGTAGAAGAGGTGAAGGGGGAAAAAAAAATTAGGCAGGTGCTGTCAGCCATCCAAACAGATGAGTTTGGAAAATGTTTCGAAGAATGGAATCACAAATTTGACAAATGTATTAAGTGTAATTGAGAGTTCTTTGAAGGTAATAAGGTTGTTTTGTAAAAAAACTTTAAATACCTAGCTTTGAAAAAAAAAATCTTAGGTTTTTGGGTACCCCCTCGTATTTTGACTTAAATATATCTGAAGTTCTACCAGATGTTCTCAGCCCTTAGCGAGCCATGTGGTGTCAGAGAAAAGGAGCCAGATTTTTATTCCCTTTTATCTAAACAGTGAAGACCACCCCCACATTTTTAAAAATAAGGATCCCTATCTTTGGTACCTTTTTTCCATTCTCCAATATCACATTTTTATTTTACATTCTGTCTCTCATACCTCCATACAAGTGATTATGACATCCTTGAAGTTATCTTGTTTGTTCTCACATCTGCTCTTGCTCTTTTTTTTTTTGCTTGAAATAGTCTGTGCTTCTTTTAAATGTTGTCTGTCTCCTGGTGTTGGAAGCAACTATTGCATGTATTTGGAGAAAGGGGGAAAAATCTATGATCAACTCCTGCCCTCAGTCTAGCCTATTATACTTATTTTGTTAATTTATTACACCACAACCCATATTTTATGAGATTGAATTGTTTGGATACCACTTACAAGCATTATAGCTGAAAATTTAGTCACTATTTTTTAAGAAACTCCTCAGCCACTTTTACTAAATGCCCTTAAGCTAATTTAGAGACTCAAATTATCTGAATTTAAAGGCAGGATAAAATTTCATATTGGCTATATTCATATTCTTATGTTTCCAAACAAGTTTTGGTGCTTTTGATAACAATGTGTCTTAACCAACCTAGTTCAGAGACATCTCTTCTAGGTTCTACTTCAGTATTAGTAAATATTTGATAAAATTAGTAATTAGTAAAGAAAACTTCTCTTTAATCTTGGTGATTGAAAAAGGAAAACTCAGAGAGGAAAAAAACAAACTTGAGACCTGTAGATACATATGTGTTGCCTATTTTTAAAACCTAGAATCTTATCTGCCTCCTTTGACATAAAACTTAAAACCAAACTCACTGCCGTTCAGTCAATTCTAACTCATAGTGACCCTATAGGACAAAGTAGAACTGGCCCTGTGGGTTTCCGATTTCCTTATGGGAGTAGAAAGCCTTGTCTTTCTCCCAGGGAATAGCTGGTGGTATCGAACGGCTGACCTTGTAGTTAGTAGCCCTAAGTATAACCACTGTGCCACTAGTGCTCTTCTGACACACATTCATTTATATATTGCACTTGTATAGTAAAATTTTGGCATATCAGATGACATGTGGTAGTCTTTGGCTTTCTGGTTCAATAAATATTACAAATAGGACTTTTTTTGTCATCATTGTCCTATTTAATGTTCTCAAAATAATTTTTCCTTAGAACTCACTGAACAGCAAAAAGAATTTCAAGCCACTGCTTGTAAATTTGCCAGAGAGGAAATAATCCCTGTTGCTCCGGAATATGATAAAACTGGGGAGGTAGGTTGATATATTTCTTGGGAGAGTAAAATCTTTTGCAGTTTTTACAAGGTCATAGAATCCCAACTATCTAGATTTAAATGTAGCATAACTGGCTGTTTTTTTCTCTTTCTTTCAGTACCCTTTCCCCTTGATTAAAAGAGCCTGGGAACTTGGCTTGATCAATACACATATTCCAGAGAGTTGTGGTAAGCTGTCTCACAGTTTTAATTTTAGAATACAAATGAAGAGGGTTAATTGTGAATTTTCTATTCTGTCTTTCAAATTTTTTTAAATCATTTTATTAGGGGTATGTCTTTCAAATATTTATTTCATTAAATGGCTTTCTGGGGGAGTGCGGAGTGGAGACCCAAAGCCCATCTGTAG